CTGCACAGACCCCGGGACCCCCATCCGGATGCCTGGGTCCCCACCGGAGGCCTCTCCCGGCACAGAGAGGGCAGCGTGGGCCAGCAGAGCTGCGGTCGGGGCTTGGGGGAATCTGCTTTCTAGTAAGAGCTTGGCTTCAAGCCCAAGCCAGAGCCAAACTCTGGTGTGCAATCCTTCTGAGCTCCCAAACCCTGGTGTGCAAACCCACCCCGAGCACCCAAACCCTGGCCTGGGTGGAAGATGGGGCCCCAGCTGCACTGGGAGTGGGACCGGGGCTGGGGCTAAGGGTCCCTGTCCTGGTCCTGTGTTGCATGGTCTGACCCTGCTCCAGCTCAGCCCTTCCCAAAACCCACGCTGAAGCCTCTGGAAAATTGCCCTGAGTGCTTGCGAGTTCACTGACCCTGCGATGCTCAAAACAGCATCTGGGTGAGGGAGCGGCACGGCACGTCATGGGATGACATGGACAGCACAGCACAGCATGACAACAACCCCCTGCCCTGCCCTGCCCTCACACACAGCTGGCACCTGTCAGGACCAACTGGGATGGACTGGGGCTGACTGGGACAGAGGTAGTTCACTTCCTACCCAGGTAGTTGTGGCTCTTGTCCATCACCTTGATGTGTGTGGCCCCAGCTGGGATCTTGGTCACATTCATGTACCCAAAATAACCTGTCGGGGAGGCAGAGTCAGGGCAGTGCCTGAGAGGACATCCCAGGGGGACAGAGGACAGGGCAGGGGGGACAGGGCACAGAGGGGCTCTGGGTCTGGGGAATAAACCCAGCTGGGCCCCATGTACCAGAACATCAGGAGCTGTCTGTCCTCACAGGCACCATTGTCCCCAGAGCCTGGCCAGCACCCCATGGACACATGGGGACTCTGGGTGCTCCCAGGGACGCCTGAACACCTCTGGAGATGCAACAGACAACAGGGGCTCCTCAGAGACCCCACACACACCCCCAGAGGAGTGACACCCTCTGCACAAGGCTAAATCCCCCCAGTGAGGGGCTACCCTGAATCCACTGTCCCTGTCCCCACATGTTGAGGACAGTGAGGGATCAGGGATCATGCCCTGTGGATGGGGGAGATGGAGAGGGACAGGGTGACCTTGGGGACACAGGGGACAGGAGGACAGGGGAGCCAAGAGCCAAAGCATTCACCCATGGAGGGGGCCGGGGCAATGGTTCATTCACCAGAGGAGGGGTCTGTGCCCTGGAACAGTGTGGCCGGAAGATACCTGAGTGGTGGCCGCCGCTGCACTGGCCGCAGGCGTCAGGGCGTGTGCCTGAGCCCAGGATGCCATCACAGCCCACGCTCTGCAGGGAGCAGAGACACCACCTCAGGGAGGGGGCTCAGACCTGGGGGTCCTGAGGGGTCCCAGGGGTGTCCTATCCCCATGCATATACCCACCAGGCAGCGCCCGCTGACGCACAGGTCTGGGGAGCCAGGGTGCCGTCCAGCACCCGCCCAAAGCTGTAGTAGAAGTTGTGCCCCTCAGCCAGGCAGTTGAGGTCACAGAGGTTAGGAGCTGCCAGAGCAGGGTGGGAAGTTACAGAGTGACTGTGGGGGCAGCCACAGCCCCTGCTCAGCC